CACCATCACCCACCACTGTTCTTGATGGACCTTATTATAATAATAACAAGATTTCATCTTCTTCATTTCGGTTCTTGAAAAATATCAGTAAAACACCAGAAACAGAGCAATTTGTGAAAAAGGGAAATTGGTGGCAGCGGAATGTTAAACGGAAGATTGGTAGTAATAGTTCTTCTGTGTTTTTGTCTTCAATGGATTCTACAGGTAAAAGTTGCAGTGCAAGAATGGGAAGTTTTAGAAGAAATGGAAGCTCTTCTAATCTCTATGCTACTAAGTCCAACATGATGTGGGTAAGTTTTTTTGGATATTGTTTGTATTTATCCTTCGTTATATTATCGGGTTAAATATATCTCTATTGTTGTATTATCCAATTAAATTTACCCCCATCTCTAACAAACTTTTAAAAATTAACTTCACTCCGGATAGTTGAATTGGGACGCCATATTCAGAGTTCGTTTAGACTGACTTAAAAAATAGCTTTAAAGTCAAAAATAACAAAATCAAATTTAACTGACTTTCAAGTTAAAAAAATAAAAAAGTAAGGGCATGACTTATTTTGGTTTTTAACTTATAAGTCATTAAAACTTATTTTAAATTATTTTTAACTCTGTCAAACACTATCTAACTTATTTTAAGTCATTTTTTGACTTATTTTAAGTTATTTGAATATTTGTCAAACACTCTCAAAAATTAAAAATTGACTTAAAAATAAATTTGATCAACTTTTAAGTCAATCAAAACACGCTCTGAATCATTATTTGATCGGCGATTTTAAATTGAAGAGGAAGAAGAGGGGTAAATTTGATCCTTTTCACTTATAGCTTAGCTTTAACAATATGGTATATTTAGTTTGATGGTCTAATAGTTGGAATATATTTTAATCAATGGTATAATGAGGGTAAACGTAGGTATATATAAAAGTAAAAGAGTAAATTTAACTTATGCTTTTCTTTTATATTAATGCTAAAGAGAAAATAACTAAATGCCCTTCTAATTTATATTTTGTTGGATAGAAAATAGTCTTTTATCACTTTCTAGACCGTTTAAATTTGAAATTATTATTATCCTAATTGTTAGTTCCTTTTTTGGAAATTAATTTATATGATGCACTTCAATTGACTATGAAATTTACTAAGATATAAGGAGATTGGTAAGAATTGAGGGAGGGAAGAATCAAAATTCTCAATTACTCTTATCAGTTTAAGAAAGACATTTTTTAAAAATTTGTTTTAACTTTAGTATGTTTATTTTCTGCATTTGTAGAGAAAACAAAATTAGTCCATAATATCATAATTCACTCCATTATAGTTGGGACTGATTATTGATCGATCCGTTTATCCAACCTATTAAATTTGGGTGGATATCAAACTTAAATTGATCAATGAAAAATCTTTTAAAAATATTTTTTATTTGATATATAATATATAATTATAGTAAAGAAAAATAATCATGTATTAATAAAGTACTAAAAGATTATAAAAAGAACTATTTGAGTAATTAAAATTTAGTAAAACGTGTTATATTATTGACTCACTTTTTTAGCCAATTTCAATAACTTTTGGACAGGTCAATAACTCATCTATTAATATATTAAACCTATTTGATCTGTCAAGCTTCCATTCAACCCGCTCATTTACTACATCTATTTGTGGGCATGTTCCTCTCTAAAGCTAGGACAATTGTTCTTATCGATGTTATTTGACTTTGGAAATATGTGATTTAGGTATTTGTATGATTTATACATCATCTCATTAATAAAATATAAAATTTAAATTAATTTATATGTAAAAATAAAAATATATCATTCTTTTTCATACAAATTAAATAGTACATCATCTAAATTGGGATAAAACGTAAAGCAAGTATTTTTGTTATATTAGTGTAGTTTAACTTATGAGCAAGCAAATTACCCTATTTATAATGTTTCCAATTAATGATATTATAAAATAGAATTATTTGCAATTATTGTATGAATGGCCGAGTCATCTCAATTATTATTTTTTACTTTTAATATATAAAACTTAAACACATTATGATTAAGTGATTGATGGACGAAGTTGGTATGATTAACACTCCAAGGGTTTGATCTATTTTTTAATGAAATGAGTGTGAACTTTAGAGACCATTGAGTGGTACGGTCGTCGGGATCGTGTTCTAATTAGGGTGTTAGGGTTGGATTCTAGATCAATTATCGAAGTTAATTTTCGGGTCAGAAATTATTTTCCTAAAGATTAGTTTTTAGTCTTAAGTCAAAAATAAAAGATTTTTTTTGGAAAATGTTTTTCATTCACCAACTAAACAATAAAAAATATTTTCCAAAAAATATTTTCTACTCATCAACCAAGCATGAGAAAATAAGTTAAAAATTCACTTATTTTCCAAAAAACGTTTTCCATGAAAAACATTTTCCTTCGTACCAAACACACCCCAAAGCTTGAATCGCAATAGAAATTAGAAGAAGAAAACAAAGATGAATAAGTTCTCCTCATCTCAACCTAAGTTTTGATAAATAAAATAATCCAATACTAATAGTGAAAGATAGCGGATACTTGATGAAATAGTCGAGGTGTGCATCATGAGAGTGGGACACTATCGTTATACAAAAAAAAGGTGTGTAACAATAAGTTCTTGACTTCTTGTTACAAACTTTTAATTAATTGCGTACTCTTAATTTATAGTCTTCAAATAGCATGTGCTAGGTTACACATTTTTTAACTAAAAGTTTTGATGGGTCAGTTTGATCCATAAATTTGTTCTGTCACTCTATTCAATTTATGTGACATGTTTTATTTTATTTTTAGTTTGTTACGAAAAAAGAATATTATGATCTTTAAGTATCTAGAAACAACTCAACTTTAAAATTTTCATTTTATCCTAAACTAAATGATTGACACTCACACAAATGTCTAAAGTCTATTTTAGACTATGAGGATGTTTGGTAGGGAACAGTTACGTTATTCCGGAATAAGTTATCTTAGGATAAGTTATTCCATCATGTATATGAGATAACTTATCCCATCACTAAGGTAAAAATGATGAGATAAATAATCTCAAGACTGTCTAATACCTCCAACCAAACACAGAATAAATAGTCCCGCATTGTATTCCTAAGATTATTATACCTTATACTTCAAACCAAACGACTCCTAAATCTTAAGAATCTTCTTTTCTTTCTTAAATTCCATGTCCTGTTGAAGATTACTACATAAATGAAACAATCAAGTATCTATGACCTAACTGATCAAACTTTCAACAAATTTCACTAGTTTCATAAATTTAAGCACATGGGACAAGAACATAGTAATAGGGGCAGTTGTAATGAAGAAGACAGCCAATCTACTTACACTTCTGGATATGAAATGCTAAACATAACACATATAAATATATCTATGTTAGGCAATTAAAAGCACAAATATGGTGGAAATGTAGGTGTTACCCTCACCTATAGGATGTGATCAATTTTCTATCCATAAAGGAAAGGGCATGGGCCTGTTTGATTTATGATATTTTGGGAACTTGTGTCACATTCAGGTAAGTAAAGATTTATATAGTCGATATTAATATAATTGGAATTAATGTGCAATTGTCTAAATGTTGGTGGACATAGTTAATTGATACTTATGCCGATATAAATGGTAATGTTGGAGCAGTTAGATGTGCATTACAGTAGGGCCTAACTAGAGTTTAGGTTATGAATTTGATCGAACTCAGTAGCTTTATTCCAAATTAGCATAATCGCGAGGACATGTGTGAAATTATTTGTCTTTTGTTTCTAGTTTAACTTCATTCCTATTGATAAAATTACAGGCAAATATATATGAGGGTTTCAAGAAGGCCATACCATGGAAGAGCAACAAGTCAAAGAATTGTTCATCTTATAGCTTTCAACACCAGCAGTCAATTTAATCTTAATGGAGAATAGTTGGCTGTGGTTGGTCTAATACTACTGGAAAGTAGAAATCTTTGTTAAGAAAGGTTATTAATTTGTAATTATGTTTGGACATGAATTTTATTTGGAAAAGGAATAGAAGTTATGTATTCCTGGTTTGAAGTTGAAATGATTGGTAAAATTGACGTTGAATGCCTCTTCTTATAATGAAGTCGAGTTATGACATTGTAGATTAGGGCATCTTCATGTGTCAAAGATGTGAGTTTTAGTTTCTAGTTTTTTGAATCAGGTGTGTCTGAGTTACAATCTTATGTATGTAAGAGGGCTAAGCATATTCTAAAGTAATTAATATTCCTATAATGAGAGTCATTGTAGTGTACTATTTGAGTTAGTTCACTTTGATGTATGGGGGCCTGCCCCTACTCTTTCTTTATAGGGTTATAATGATTTTGTGGCTATTTTGGATTCTTTCTCTCGTGTTACTACTGTTATCTTAAAATATCTAAGGATGTTGTTAGTTTTATCCTTTCTTGAAGATGACTCTTCAAAAGTCTTTATGGTGTGAAGCAATTTGCAAATAATATTTCGAGTTGAAGTTGAAATGATGGATCAAATTGTAGATCTACAAACAATATTTCGAAGTTAAAGTTGAAATAATGGATGTCAAGAGCTCGAGTATTAGAGTAAAAAGACAATAGGTAATTAAGTGTTGTCGTATAAATAGTAGGTAGCTGAGTGTGGTAGTACGTTTATGTTGGAGAGACATGGGGTGGTCTCCTCTTCCCATCTTCTCCTTGGTAGTATTAGTTAGTATTCACATAGTATCTTTTTCTTCAATTTCGACATGTTGCTTCATTTGCTTTGTTCATCTTGCTATTTAGTTGTCATTATTTTCCTTTCAAAGACTCTTGCTTTGATTACACTCCTTTTGAGTCAAGGGTCTACCAGAAATAACCTCTCTAGTCTCCACCCACAAATGTAGAGGTAAGGTTTGTGTACATCTTACCTTCCCCATATTCCACTTGAGGGATTACACTAGGTATGTTGTTGTTAATGCATAAGAGGAGAGTGTATTTGCATGAACCAAATTCAGAGATCTAATCCAAAGCAATTCAAATGATGAAAAGCCTCTTACATTGCATTTACTGGCTAATCAAATGATGGCAATTTCTGAATTCAAACAGCTCCAATACTAAATCATTAATAGTTACACACAAATGAAGATCTTATTTTCGTTTCCGGATCAGAATGAACAAAAAGGGAGTGTAAATAAGAGTACAATAGGCTTTTTAATGCGAAAACCTGACCGGGAAGTTACCCTTGTTCTTCCCAGTTACACCAGTAACCACCTGCAAAACATGGGAAGGGAAGAGTATGTTCAAGTACAGAGTAGACGCCTCGTCTTCTTCGGGCAGCTAAGGTATCTTTATAGGCACAGACACTAACGTTAAATAGATTGTGCATGTTTCACTTCATACTCTTTCAAGTGTTTAATGCAGCTAGCTACACTAGCCAGTAGGACAAATTGAGGCGATGCAGATATTGTGGGAATTGGTTGATTGACAAACAAAACCTACCAATCCTAATAGTTCACAACTCGTATTTTAAATTGGGAAAAATGACAAATATACCCCCGAACTATCATAAATGGTATGCAAATATCCTTCGTCATACTTTTGTGACATTGGTGTTCCTGCCGTACAAAAACTAGAGCATATATACCCTTTATACTAACAGGCATACGCGTGTCATAATCTTTATCCACCGATCCGACATTTATTACATATCGAATCGACGGATAAGATTGCGTCACGTGTCCCTATTTAGTTTTCCGTTAGACTACAGGGTATATATGCTCTAGTTTTTGGATGGCAGGGGCACCAATGTCTCAAAAGTATGACGAAGGGTATCTGCATACCATTTACGATAGTTCATGGGTATATTTGTCCCTTTTCCCTTTTAAATTTAGAGTGGCACAAAGAGAAAACTGTAAAATGAAGGACATTGAAAAGCAGAATTAAAACTACTAGTTATAGTATATAGAATAGCATAGCCTGTTAAAAATTGACGTACTGCATAAAAGATTACAACCATTATGCATAACGAAGAGGGACATAAACCAGAAACAAAATCTAGCCAGCTGAAAATGACAAGCAAACTGGGGGAAAACAGGCACTTAAACTAGTAGGCATAGTTTACTCACATCAGGTGGAGGGACTTGCTTTGATGATTCAAAGGAATAAAGCATTGGCCTAACAAATGCAGGAAGGAAATTAAAGGCCTGAAAGTTGGCAATACAAGAAATATAAGTAACTACTGCTTCCCTTTGCTGTCATAACACATGCAGAGAACCTCTCAATCTATAATTGAGTGTCTTATCATTTTTATTTTTATTTTTACAATTACACACATGAGTATAAATTAGATGCTAAAATGCAGAAAATGTACACACAGATCAAGGCATGGATTTTAATGTTCATGCCTCTCTAGACTCATATTCTGACTTCTCTCTATATGCAGCAAGTAGAAAAGATCAAATGCATGTACGGCCGAGCGTTGAGTCAAGGCCAACCGAACTTTCTACAATACTGAGTACAGTCGAGCTCAACCAAGCGAAGCCTAAGCTTTCAATTGCTCTCTGTTAACAATACAATTAGACTAGAGACAAGCCGAGCGCAATTCATCTATACAAATTGTTATAACTCTAAATTTGATGCGCCCAGTTAAATATTCAACATAAACTATAACTTTCAGAGCAAAACTACAAAAAACAAATTAGCAATACCTACATTCCATTTAACTTAAACTTCCCATTTTTCTTTAATGATATACTTTTATACGACAATAACATACCCACTGAAATCCCACAAGGAGTATGTTAAAGACCACAAGTTTTAAAAATCTTATTAGCTACACAAATGTATGACATGCTTAAGACCAAAAGTTCCAAAACTCTTACTCTTCCTTAAACTCCATGTCAAATCAATACGTGGCACGTAAATTGAAATAGAGGGAACAATAATTATGTAATTTTAAAATTAAGATATTATTCCCTCCGTTCATTTTTACTTGTCAATATTTGACTTGACACATCCATTAACAAAACAATAATTGCTATAGGTATTTTACCAAACTATACATATTAATGATGTAAAGTATTAGGTCTTGAAAAATGATTTGGAGAATAAATATTTAAACAAGTAAAAATGAACAGAGGAAGTAGTATTATACTCTTATTAATTGAGCTTAATGGATGAATTTTAATTTTAAAGTAATCTTACATGACTCAACCGAGTGAGCTAAGTCACGCTTCTGTTGAGAACAGCAACTGCAAAAACCACTATTAGAAGAATTTGTTTTTCCATAGCAGTGAAGCTCGAATCTATAAAGTAATTCAGCCACAGATCAATTTAACTAAAGTTGACGATTCAATTAGCTAAATTAAGCAGATAATTAAGTTTCTTCTTCTAAATGGAAGAGCAAAATTAAGTAACAGATTTGAGAGGGAAAATACCAAAACCAGAGATTAGACAAGAAGCAGCCACTACTGGCTCTTGTACTACGAACATTTTCAATCTCTCCATTACCGCCATCTTTTTTCTTCTTCTTCTTTCTGGATTTGAGATCAAATGTCTCAATATTTTAGGAAACCCTTCACTGAATCTAATACAATGACCCGGCCCCATATAGGGAAAATTAATAAAGTAGTCAAAATTCCTAACATAATTAGCTAAAACATATACATTTAAAAATAATTATTAAAAATGTCATTATTTCAGCAAATATAATTAATTTACTATCTTTTTATTTCTCAAATCAGTTACCTGGTTTGACTCTGCTATCTGTTAAAAGTAAAAAGTAAAAAGAAAAAAGAAAAAAAAAGACCCCACATTTTAATATTCTATCTCTAGGTTTTTACCTCAAATCTCTCAACTTTCTGTTTCCACCATTGTTATCTCTCATACTTGTTTAAGAAATTTCTTCGACTTGTACGATTTCAACATCTAGCAATTCTTCGTGCAAATTGGGGTATAGTATCCGATTTACCCTCTCCTATGAGTCGGACTTGCTCCACAACTTCTCTGCTTATCGGGCTCAAGCGATTTTTCTGTCGGGTTCCAGATCTCAATCGCGGCCGCTCTATGAATGGTTTTGAAAAGACTCTTCTTGAATCCATGAAACTTGATGAATCGATTGTCGGATCGAAATTCTTAATTGTCCATTCATTCTCAATTCTAAATAACCAAAATACAATTTATTTATGTATTCATCCTAATTGCATATGTAAAACAAACTTTTTATTTTGCTTAGTTTGTATGTACAATATCACGTTGTATACCAAATAGTTTGTATTTAAATTTGATTTTGTATTTGTCCTAATGGTATACCATCAAGTTTTATATTTATATTTGATTTCGTATTCATTCTCAATTCTAAATAACCAAATTCTTATCATATTTATATAATTTCAAGACCCCAATGGATCTATGATAGGATCGTTTATTTACAACGGAATGGTATACAATTTATTATGTTATATAGGTATTCATCCTAATTGCATCAATAAAATAGATTTTGTATTTTATTTTGCTCATTTTGTATTTTCAATATCACTTTGTACACCAGATAGTTTGTATTTAGATTTAATTTTGTATTCATTTTCAATTCTAAATAATCAAAATACAATTTGTTTATGTATTCATTAAATACGTAATTAAGGAAATAAAGTAACTTGAGCAGTAGTAATTAAGTAACTTTATTTTGTTCAATTACAATTATAGTAGTAATTTAGGAAATAAAGTAACTTGAGTTTGTTAAGTAATTAAAGTTTTTTTCCATTAGGGTAATAAGACTATAAATTAGACTTCATAATTTACATAATTAGTTTAGGTTAATTCTGGATCAAGAATCAATGTCGAAGCCAATGGGAATACGTTTTCATCCTACTGATAAAGAGCTAATCAACTATCTTAAGAAGTTTTTCAAAGGTGAATTATCTTTGAATCAACAATGTCATATCCAGTTTGCGGATATATATATATGGAGATAAACCACCATGGGAGATATTTGGATCTAATTCTGAAGAAAAGTTTCGTTACTTATTACTCCTTTGAAGAAGCAAAAGATTGAACATAAAAGGTTTTCTCGAATTTGTGCTAAGGGGACATGGAAAGGGCAAACCGGGGAACATTTATAAGGAGGAATCGTACAGGGCCTGTGGTAGGGTTTAAGAGAAATTTCAAGTTTGAAACATGATTGAGGATAGAATATGATCATGTTGCAGATAGTTTCTTTAAGGAAAATAATCATATTCTTAAAGAAGATTTTGTAGTGTGTCGAATCAAGAAGAAGATGGATAAAGAGAAGAGCGTGGATCATGTTATGGACGCACAAGATGGAGATGTTGCGGGAATTATTGATCCTATGTATTGAACCTAATCATAATAACGACTACTTCACAAGGGAAGATCAAGTTAGGGTTTGTGATGAACAAGATGTAGTTGAGGCTACAACTTCTGAATATGATGTTCAAAAAAGTACTACAATGGAGAAGAGACCGACAACGTTGGAAGTACAAGAAGGCCATGGGGGTGATGATATTAGAAGCGATGAATTTCAGAAAGAGATGTATAGAACATTTGAGGACATTCCTGTTGATATTCCTGACGATTGGTTGTAGAATTCACTCGTTCTACAAGATATATAATACACATTAAAATATTTATACAGTTCATTAGATGGATTATGCAGTTGAAAAAAATGTGTATATAGTTCAATTTTACCCATATATATAAATGTCAACGTTCTGATTATTAATATTTCTTCGAATTGTGCAAGCCTGTTTTCATATTTATCTCCTATTTCTCTTCCTATGCCAATAAAAGAGAACATCCGTGTTTAGTTTTCTTTCTTTTATTTTTCTTCTTTTTATTTTCTTTCTTTTGAAGTGAGTTATAAGTTCTTTGTATTAAAGTTTGACTTGCTTCATTCAGCATGCACCTGCTTAAAAGGAAAAATTGTATACGTAAAAATGTATACCAATATTCGAACTTGAAATTTCTGATTAAGAATAGAGCAGTGTTGCCACTATACTATAACCCATGTTGCTCTCAAATATATTTTGTATTGATCGGTTAAATTCACTAGTACATAATTAAAGTTTATTCATTTATGATCGGACTTAAGCTATTTTTTATTGAACTTCAACTATACGTGCATTTTAGACATAAATAATCGGGTCAGGTGAAAATTGTCTAAATACCAATTATATGTATCTGAAGTAATTTCATTTTTCTATTTGGTGATCATATAAGTATCGCCAAATGTAAATATTGAAACAATAAATTTATGATACAATCATTGTCCATAAACATGTGGTAATTGTAATAAACTATTTAGCTATTACTTCGTACTTAACTAATGCACACCATGTAAGACCTATTAAACGGGACACATTCTTTATCCATAGTTTTTTCCCATTTCCAAAGGGGCGAATTCAAGACTTTTTGTTTAGAAAGAAAGATTCAATCCATCCCACCATATTATTTGGTGGACGATCGTTTGGATCTTTCTTTCTTTCCATCTAAAAAAAAAATAATACTTTGTTTTTAATTAAAATTTAACCTATAGTACTACTAAAAGTACTAATTTGCCATGTCGCAGCAGAATTGCAGCTTTGTTTCATGCGATAAATTGGACAAAATGGCTAATAGAATTGGGACAAGTTTGGCATCGGCCTTCTTTGCGTCCCTCGAACGATGCTCGTGCATCACCATTAGTACATTCCACGACGATGATGATGATGAAGAAGAAGGGAAAAATCGACCTCTTTTATTCACAAAACATGCTTCGTTTACCCAATCTAAGCTTTCTTCGTCTTCTTGATTTGATTTATTAAGACGTGTAGATATCTATATGCATGCGTAAAGCTGCTAGAAAGATATGTATATGATTGTAGATCGGGAAAAGGTTCAAATTTGATTGTTATGATCGATGAAATTGCTCAATTTTGTCCTTGGTGATATATATATATACTTTTGGTCATTTCATACGTACTCTTGTTGTTAACAAATTGTCTTGTATTTTTTATTCTTGTCATGCTCCAGTGTGGAATATGATGAGTTTCACGTGTTAAAATTCTTTGAGAGAGTAAAATAATATATCTTAAACAAATTTAACTCTTTACCCTAATGAATTGGAAAGATGGAAAAGATTTGTTCATTCAGCTATTGTTTTTTCTAGGGGTATACATGGCCGGGTTGGTTCGGGTTTTTCAAATATCAAACCAAATCATTTGTGTCGGATTTTTAAATTTATAAACCAAACCAAACCAATAAAATTCGGGTTTTTCAACCTCGGGTTTTTTTGGGTTGTTTCGAGTTTTTCCGGTAAAGTATTCATACAAACATATAATTTACTTGTATTTCAAATATTTCTTTAGTCCTACCAAAATACAATTATCTAAGATGTT